GGTCAGGAGAGGTCTGCCACGCCATGTGGTCTCCTCCGGGGCAGGCGGGAATCGAACTCATGCGGAAGTGGCCCAAGCCTCCTTGTGCAGTGCTTTAACCCGCTGCGCCACCAGGGAGGGCCATGGATCCCTTACTTTAGTCTCCAGGTTTCCATTCTTTGCCTTGGCCATAGCACAAGAGGACTAGCTGGTGAAGGATTAAGAGCTGAAGATGCCGTTGATGGGCCTGCTCTTTGGTCCACTACTCTGACCTGGGACCAGTGTTACAAAGATAAAAGATGGCACTTTTTTCTTTGGAGGTTCTGAGGATCAAATTCATCCCTAGTTTCATCAACGTTCCACAGGCCTAGAGAGCATCTATGGGACAACAAAGGTTTTGCAGAGCCTGATGAAGACAGCTTCTTGGGATCTGGGAAGGGGGTGGAAGGGGTCAGCCTGAACAGTTAGCCTCTGGTGGATCTCAGGGTTGACCTAGTGGATCTGCAAGTCCAGAGTCATCCCGTTTTTGCCCTCTGCGATTCCCGGCACCTGGCCACCCTCATCTCTTGTCTCTGGATGGTGGTGCTGGGGCCACAGTTGCTCACCAGCAGCCTGGTGACTCCCCTCTCCCCTCTCCCCTCAAGACTTCAGAAGTGGTACAAGCAGCTATAAAATCAACAACCTAACCTGTATGGCACTTTACATTTGAGAAAGGCCATTCACATGGTCTGATGTGATCTCCAAATTTAAGGGAAGTCAGGCAGGATCTGTCCTAAACACAGGGAAATTCATCTTCAGTGACAGCAGCTGATGCTCTGGCTAGGTTGCTGCCCCTGGGGCTTGAACACAGCTGGACCGACTCCTGGCCCCGTGCTCTCCACCACCCTGCTGGCCGTGGCCTCCTTCCCCCACTCCCTCACACCTGAGTTCACCCACCAGCCCTCCCTTAGAGACCTCCTCCTAGCCGACATCCCCCTACACCCATCTCCCTAGGCCCCAGGCCCTGGCTTTCCTCAGCCCTCCCTAGCTCCCACTGCTGCTTTCCATCCTGGTTGCCCCTGTCAAACAGGTGAGGCCAACAAGGGGAAATGGAATGGGCTGAAACCAGTTTTTCCCTAAGTATCTTCCGGGATCCCCAAATCTGAGGAATGTCAGCAGCAGAGACTGAGCAGGGAGGGTGGTGGGATTGGGACACTTTTTTTTTTAAGAAAAGGCACAGTTGGGGATCTCTGGGTTAAATGACGTTGAACTCACCACTTTATTTCATGGATTTCTCTGATGTTGGTAGGAACTGGGGAAGAAGCCTTCCAAGTGGGAGAGATGTTCTGGAAGGTGGCATTTCCCATTCTTCACGGACCCAGGAACCGCTTCATTATGCATAGAGCTTCCCGCGGGAGTCATGTTCTGTGCCACCAAATTTGGAAGAGCCCGTTGAACTAACCACAACAACGACGCTGCTGCTGCTGCCATTTCATCACCGGGACATCCAGTCCCCGACTGG